AAAACAGCACTAATGTACTTTCTCGTCCACCATTATTCTTTTCTTTACAATAAGGCTTTAAAATAAATAATGGCTGTACGGCAGTGAAACATCGGTGTTGAATACTGATGTCATGCTGTCGATGATGATGTTGATGTCAATGATGATGATGATGATGATGATGATGATGATGATGATGGTGATGATGGTGATGATGATGATGATGATGATGATGATGATTCGGATGATGATGATGATGATGAATAGTTGAAAGAATACACAAGTTGTGCCTGGTTTTTGTGGAAACAAGGGATTGAAATGTTACTGGTGCTTATCGATGACCACTGCAGACCTCAGCTTCGAACCGCCGGAAAGCCAGACTAAGGTATTGCCACCAGCTGGGGGGCTCTGAGTTCAGTAGTGTGTTCTCTAGAGCACACATGACAATCAACGTCCGTCCGGCATACAGCGGTGGAATAGCGTGTTCTGAGTGAACATCTTGGCTCCCCAAAAAGTCTGGACTACTGAGTATTGGGAAGGGTGAAAGTTACTTCCAGTGTCTCTCCTCTTTACTATGAACCATTTGAAATAATGGCGCCGAGGAAAACTGTCTGAACAAGAGTGGTGTGGATAAAAATTTTGCAAAGCCTCCCTACTACTCGTAACGCGTTATCATCGGCAGCACAACACATTCATCGTACACGGACGACTATCTGAATGTGAAAGAAAGAGTATAGTGAGAGACTTTGTGCTAATTTTTGGGTGCCCAAATTAGTCGAAACGCATTCAGATAACCTGGATCCAGTCTGACAACAAGAAAGCTACCGACAAAGACTGGCAAGCGTATCTTACAGCGTTTCCAGCAAGCCACAGTGCTGATCACGAGGGTCGTTTCCCTGGGGGCCGGGAATGGGCACCGACAATGCCCAGACTTTTCTCATTGGTCGACAACTTTTAGCACCAGGAAAGACTTATGCTCGTTATTCGTAGAACGGCCTAGATGGGGAAAGTCGAAAGACAGAATGTAGGCAAGCGTTTCTCATTTGTTTTGACAATTGGTGAGTATGGACTATGAACAGAATGACTGTCTTTCGGTTTTATGTCGCTCTTCCAGAATAACCTTCCAACACCTCCAGCTGAAAGTCTGCTCAACAAAATGAATGGATTGTCTGTTTCATCCACTACGTGCCAGACCTCAGTGAACCATCGGACCGTCGTTTCGAACGGTCGACTGCTGTCCGACGTGTCACAACGGTCTAGACATCTACCCCAAACCCCACAAACGCACACTCCAACTAACGGGACGTCTTCGTTACATTTCGATGAGAAAGTCGACAAGTCGAACACGTGGACCACCGTGAGCAATGCGGCCGGAGAATCGGACTTTGACCTTGAAGTGGAGCAGAATCGGGCGTCTTGCTCGTCAGTGGAAAATAGTCAGTCAAGTCGAGTTTTCACACAGACAAACGAAGTTTAATCTGACATGCATCACCAACAAGTCCTTGGTTTAACCGTTAATTTGATATCCATAAATTATTTGAACTCCTGCAGTTCCTCTTTTATCATCCACCATAAAAGTAAATCATCTTTTTCATATGAACGTATACTTTTCTTGTTGTTTTACCTTTCAACGTGAAGATCGTGCGGTATGCAAAAGATAGCCGGGTGGGGACACCGATTGGAACTATCTGTTGCGGCGTTATGCATCAATTTACCCAGACTGACCTCGATTTTCGGTGCCGGGTTACTGGAGTCCTGATAGTGTGAGATTAAACCAATAGTGTGATTAAATTGCACTTGGAATGTAAAAGAAATGGGTCGTTGAGATGACTGAAAGGTCATTGAGTTCTTTACGTGCTTTTACGCTGATCGCAGAGACTCCTGAAAGGCTTCTCAAAGGCCTGTTCTAAACTTTCATCAAATTTCGGGATCTACGGTGGGAACACCGGAGCGGCAATTCTGAAATTCAACGACCAATAATGTTTCGCAGACGAAGTCCCGCTCAATCCGACAGTTTCATACTCTGCAACCTTCGGGCTGTACACAGCTGGGAGAAAGAGCTCTGTGAAGTCGGCGGTCCTCTGACATGTGGAGTGTTCTGACGAGTGTAGGGTGCGGAATGGCCATCGCATCACCCTATAGTGTACCCCAGTGACCAGATGGGATTTACTTGGCTTTCCCTTGTGACATTGGCAGAGTTCTTCATACCATTTTATCAATGGATAGAGGTCAGATTAACACAGCTGCGCTGGTCACTGCCGTCTTCCTGGATGGGAACCCCGAGACGGTCAAATCTGTGGTTAGAGAAATTGTTAGACATGGCCTAGTTGCGACCTCAATGGCACTCGTACATCCAAGCTATTGCCTTCAATTCGTAGCTTTCCTTCCCTATCCCCCCAATTGACAGTCCACTGACAGAGATGTATTTACGCACCAATTTATCAGTTGCCACCTCCAGTGCGCAGCTACCTACCCCACCTCCCCGAATCATCAGTGAACGAAACTGCGACAGCTCCAACCACTGTGCGACGAGTACGCGGTTATTACAGCTGACAATGATGTTGATGATGAAACTATATTTCACCAAATAATATGAGTCAAAGAAATAACCGGGGTAATATTGAAACAGGGGGTCTAGGCGAATGATCACGTTTTGTTAATAACAAATCGCCTGTCGACTCTCGCCAGACTCTTTTGTTTCGCCATACCCGTTGCACCTTACATCTTACTTCAGCATTGTTACTTTCCATGTATAAACTTTGAGAATTCGTTGTGGAGGGTTTCAGTTTGCTGTTCGGCCTACGTAGCTTGAGGTCACACGTGGTTTTACTGTGACAAGTGAGATCAGTGAACACACATCATAAAAAAGGAGCAACTGCCAGTTGGTGGCAGTACTGGCCTCAGGAAGGAGTTCAACAGGGCAGCTGAAAGCGAATATTTGCCTTGTGTTTTGGGGAATTCGCCCATCCAGATTACAAACCTCCAACAGCAACTGGCGATTGAGTTTGATGCCGCGGAACATGGAAGACGCAAAAATATCGATTTTCCTAATCGTAGTGGGTCCAGTCTATGCTGAAAAGCTGCACATCTGTTTCATCTTTAATGGGGATCATCAGCAATATGAATCTCACGAAACTCCAATGAGTTTCGAACCCGCGACCTTCTAGCCAGCGGCCGAACACCTGGCCGTTTGGCCTCACGCGGCTAGACAGAAGTGATTAACTCTCACTTAGGCAGAGTACAACGCCTCTGCAATTACATGAACCACATCAAGTGGTCACGTGTTGACTGGCCCCATGCGTGATGATTTCTCACTCATTTTGTGAAATTCTTCCGAGCCACTTAGATTGATCGCAGTTTAAGGAGATTTGGTAAGTTTCAACGGGATTTCGTCCCATCGCTGGAAGTTAGTGAAGCACTGCATGTTCCCAATTAGTAGCAAAGAGCTGTAAAGTTCTTCTGGGCTGGTACGACGATCTAGTCCAAATAGACACTGTACAATCAAAAACATCGATTACTTCGTCGTGCATTCTACCCGATGCTTTATTATTATCCACCAAAAATGACGGCACTGCTTAAGAACATCTCATCCTCGGGGATGAGGAACATGTGACATTGTGGAAAGTTACGGCAGACGAATTCATCTTCGGGGACAGGATCTCCGAAAACGCTGCTCGGTATGGCTACCAATCGTTACTCCTGACGCTCTCTTTGGTGGTTCGTATTCTGAGTTTCGAAATGAATTTTTGGAGCATCTGTCCCCGGATTTCTTTCTTTCTTCATCCGTTTAACAATATACTTACATTTCTGAAAATTTCCATTTATTCGAAGAACAAAGACGGGTTGGCGAACATGTTCTCGGCAGGGTCATTTCAAGTATTTCACCTGGAAAGGCTAAGAGAACAGTGTTTAACATACTTGAATGAGCATGGTGGACAAGAACAGGAAATTGAGTGAGAGACGACAACTGGTCACCTATCAAAGAACAATAAGTTCAGGTCACAAAATGGATGACTGGACCTTGTCAGCGCAGGGCAGTGCTGTGGTTGTGTTCAGGGCAGTGTGTAAGTGTGTGTGTGTGGGGGGCGGTGAATTGTACCACGGCATGAGTATACTAACATTTTGGGTGAGATTATAGGAACACAGACAACTGC